TGTACACAGAGAGCTAACATTAATAATATGCATGTCAATCTCTCCTGGCTGAAAGTGGAGGAGAGATTGACTTCATCACTACTTGTATTTGTGAGAAGTATTGACATGTTGAATGCACCAAGCTGTCTGTTTAAACTACTATAGTAGCAGCTCAGACACCCATGCATACCCTACAAGACATTCCACCAGAGGTCTCTTCGCAGTCCCCAAGTCCAGAACAGACTATAGGAGGCGCACAGTACTACATAGAGCCATGACTAAATTGAACTCTATTCCACATCAAGTAACTCATGCAAGCAGTAAAATCAGATTTAAAAAACAGATTAAAATACACCTTATGGAACAGCAGGGACTGTGTAGAGACACACAGGCACAGACACACACATACAGTGGGGGAAAAAAAGTATTTAGTCAGCCACCAATTGTGCAAGTTCTCCCACTTAAAAAGATGAGAGAGGCCTGTCATTTTCATCATAGGTACACGTCAACTATGACAGACAAATTGAGATTTTTTTTCTCCAGAAAATCACATTGTAGGATTTTTAATGAATTTATTTGCAAATTATGGTGGAAAATAAGTATTTGGTCACCTACAAACAAGCAAGATTTCTGGCTCTCACAGACCTGTAACTTCTTCTTTAAGAGGCTCCTCTGTCCTCCACTCGTTACCTGTATTAATGGCACCTGTTTGAACTTGTTATCAGTATAAAAGACACCTGTCCACAACCTCAAACAGTCACACTCCAAACTCAACTATGGCCAAGACCAAAGAGCTGTCAAAGGACACCAGAAACAAAATTGTAGACCTGCACCAGGCTGGGAAGACTGAATCTGCAATAGGTAAGCAGCTTGGTTTGAAGAAATCAACAGTGGGAGCAAATATTAGGAAATGGAAGACATACAAGACCACTGATAATCTCCCTCGATCGTCAAAATGATCACAAGAACGGTGAGCAAAAATCCCAGAACCACATGGGGGGACCTAGTGAATGACCTGCAGAGAGCTGGGACCAAAGTAACAAAGCCTACCATCAGTAACACACTACGCCGACAGGGACTCAAATCCTGCAGTGCCAGACGTGTCCCTCTGCTTAAGCCAGTACATGTCCAGGCCCGTCTGAAGTTTGCTAGAGTGCATTTGGATGATCCAGAAGAGGATTGGGAGAATGTCATATGGTCAGATGAAACCAAAATAGAACTTTTTGGTAAAAACTCAACTCGTCGTGTTTGGAGGACAAAGAATGCTGAGTTGCATCCAAAGAACACCATACCTACTGTGAAGCATGGGGGTGGAAACATCATGCTTTGGGGCTGTTTTTCTGCAAAGGGACCAGGACGACTGATCCGTGTAAAGGAAAGAATGAATGGGGCCATGTATCGTGAGATTTTGAGTGAAAACCTCCTTCCATCAGCAAGGGCATTGAAGATGAAACGTGGCTGGGTCTTTCAGCATGACAATGATCCCAAACACACCGCCCGGGCAACGAAGGAGTGGCTTCGTAAGAAACATTTCAAGGTCCTGGAGTGGCCTAGCCAGTCTCCAGATCTCAACCCCATAGAAAATCTTTGGAGGGAGTTGAAAGTCCGTGTTGCCCAGCGACAGCCCCAAAACATCACTGCTCTAGAGGAGATCTGCATGGAGGAATGGGCCAAAATACCAGCAACAGTGTGTGAAAACCTTGTGAGGACTTACAGAAAACGTTTGACCTGTGTCATTGCCAACAAAGGGTATATAACAAAGTATTGAGAAACTTTAGTTATTGACCAAATACTTATTTTCCACCATAATTTGCAAATAAATTCATAAAAAATCCTACAATGTGACTTTCCTCATTTTGTCTGTCATAGTTGACGTGTACCTATGATGAAAATTACAGGCCTCTCTCATCTTTTTAAGTGGGAGAACTTGCACAATTGATGGCTAACTAAATACTTTTTTCCCCCACTGTACACACACCTGATAACATACGCACTATACACACACGTACACATGGATTTTGTGTTGTAGATACAGTATGTGGTAGTAGAGTAGTGGCCTGAGGGCACACACTTAATGGTGTTGTGAAATCTGTAGTGAATGTATTGTAATGTTTTTTAAATTGTATAACTGCCTTAATTTTGCTGGACCCCAGGAAGTGTAGCTGCTGCCTTGGCAGAACTAATGGGGATCCATAATAAATCTCAGGAAGTGTAGCTGCTGCCTTGGCAGAACTAATGGGGATCCATAATAAACCTCAGGAAGAGTAGCTGCTGCCTTGGCAGAACTAATGGGGATCCATAATAAACACAATACAGCGTCAGTTTGGATAAGGGTTGAATAAACATAGGCTCTACAGTGCATGGAAGGTTATGCCATTGGTTCACCTCCCTGCCCTGCTCAGGACTCTCTCTCCCTGGCTTCAAGTTCAAGGAGATGTATTTTTCATCCCTGCATAGGCCTATGCAATATTGAAGAGCTTATGCAACACATGAAGTCAGCCACCTAGGTGGGAGGTTAGTCATACATGTCAGGGCTCAGTGCTTCATGGCTTACTCCCAACACACAACATGGAGGCTGAAAACATGAAGGCTGAAAACATGGAGGCTGAAAACATGGAGGCTGAAAACATGGAGGTTGAAAACATGGAGGCTGAAAACATGGAGGCTGAAAACATGGAGGCTGAAAACATGGAGGCTGAAAACATGGAGGTTGAAAACATGGAGGTTGAAAACATGGAGGTTGAAAACATGGAGGCTGAAAACATGGAGGTTGAAAACATGGAGGCTGAAAACATGGAGGTTGTAAACATGGAGGTTGAAAACATGGAGGTTGAAAACATGGAGGTTGAAACATGGGTTGAAAACATGGAGGCTGAAAACATGGAGGTTGAAAACATGGAGGCTGAAAACATGGAGGTTGAAAACATGGAGGTTGTAAACATGGAGGTTGAAAACAGATTCGGACACAGCAGCACATGGTGGGGGGGGCGCTGGTCAAAAGTAGTGCACTATATAGGGAATAGGGTGCCATTTGGGACACAGACTTACATTGCCGTGCTGGCCCGCACGGCAATGTAAGTCTGTGTCCCAAAAGGATAAGAGATGTGATGGAGGGAGGATAAGTAGTGTGATGGAAGGAGGATAAGAGGTGTGATGGAGGGAGGATAAGAGGTGTGATGGAGGGAGGATAAGTAGTGTGATGGAGGGAGGATAAGAGGTGTGATGGATGGAGGATAAGTAGTGTGATGGAAGGGAGGATAAGAGGTGTGATGAGGGAGGAGGGAGTATACGTAGTGTGTCTGGCGGGGATCGTTTTTGTGAGGGTAAGAGGTGTGATGGAGGGGTCAGTAGTGTATGCGGAGGATAACGAGGTTGTGATGGAGGGGTAGTGGTGTGCATGGAGGGAGTATAAGTGGTGTGATGGGGGCGGCTAGTAGTGTGATGGAGGGAGGATAAGTAGTGTGATGGAGGGAGGATAAGTGGTGTGATGGAGGGAGGATAAGGGTCTTGGACTGCAGTAAAGGATCGGGGGGAGGCAGAGCCAAGCAGCGTAGGTTAGTGGTGTTTAGTAAATATTTACCTCCTCCCTCATCAAGTGGTGTTTAGTCATCATTTACCTCCTCCCTCATCAAGTGGTGTTTAGTAATAATTTACCTCCTCCCTCATCAAGTGGTGTTTAGTAATCATTTACCTCCTCCCTCATCAAGTGGTGTTTAGTAATAATTTACCACCTCCCTCATCAAGTGTAAACCAGACGCACTTCTAATTGTACAGACTCCTCGCTAGAT